TTCTTATTGGTCACTGTTTTTCGTTAATAACTCGTTAACGGTACCTCGGAGAAAATTTTTGTAAAGGAAGAAGTTGCCTCAAATGGCCTGAGGAACCCGCCACTTTCGGATTGCGAGACATTTTTAGGACATCCTGTATATACAGACAGAATATACAGTATCAGACTCCGTACAGTACATATCAGACTCTGCCGTCCAGAGAAATAGCCTCGCGCGGAATTCAGCCGTACCTAAAAGGTTAACCCGGTTCATTAAAAAAAGAAGAGACAGCGAATAAAGGCACTCGCACATTCAAATAAAGTTTTATTGCTCCGATAAATACGATAAAATTTAACAAGTGTTAACGAGTCTGCTGAAATGTAAGTTTGCATAAACACCGTCGGTAGAATAACGACAAAGCATTTCGGAAACGCTTTGAATAAATGAAACGACCGGACAGAAATCCGCGCCTGAATCCACGATAAACCACGGCTGAATTCGTAATTAGCCGCGGCGTTGCGAACACCATGGATTTTCGGTAACGGGGAAAGGAACGGATCCGGTCCCGAGCGAACTGGGCTGGGATTCGGACTGCGTTATTATTTCTTTTTTGGACACCGACCGGACGGATAGTTATCAGTCAGTTAAGCAGAAATTCTCGGCGGGTCGTCAGGGTAAAGAGATACGTACACTGGGTAATATGAAATATTTCCGCGCATCGGGGAATTCAGATCCCGGAGCCTGTGTGCAGCATTTCCCAACTTCCATCCGCGGTCCCGGGCGATATTAACGCGGATTCCCGCGGTGGTTGACGGGACGAGACGAGTTCGTTCTTCTTTCTGTCGCGCAGATACGCGGGCGGCTCTCTGCCGACGTTGCCGCGGGACCTGGGCAACCGTCTTCTGGACATCGTGAAGCTCGACGACTACCAAGAACCGTACCAGGCGCTGAAGTACGCTCCGTACTACAGCTACAGCACCGTTGTTATGGAGATGAAAGACATGATGCTGAACAACAAGAGCACCAACATCAATCACTCAGGTATGCCCCGCGCGCTCGTGCACGCTGCGCCGCTCTGCGCCGCTCCTGCTCCGCGCCGGACTCGTGTTGTTTTACACGCATACAAGCGCACGTGGCGCTCGCGTATATTTATACCGGGGTACACATTAAACGGTTGCCACGAGTACACGGCAATCCCCGGTATACGTACGCGTGTACGAAACAACAAAGCATTCGCCTGACCGCAATCAATACATCGTGCCCCCCATCCCCCCTTCCCTCCCTCCCTCTGACACCCCCTCTGTTCCGCGCCCGTTCCTCCTTTGCTATATCATCCACAGCGGTGTACGCGAACGGTGCAGTTGACACATCGTACGATTATGCGGTACCGGAACTCGGCACGGTGCCCCTGCTCAACCAGGACGGCACAGGACGAGGCCCGGCCGTTTCCACCACCGCCGAAGACAGTCTCTTCTCCAAGACTTCGTCGCGCGCCAACAAGACGGAAGACAAAAAGGTATGTGCGCAATGTTTACTCTGCCGGAGAGCTTCGGACAGGGGCCCGCTAACGAGTAGCTTAATATCCGCGCTGCTTAAACACCGTCGTCCCTCGGCAAACGTCCTCGCAGACACAGCCGGAACTCTGTAGGCAGCTTTCGGGGCAAAGCTGCAGACGGCACATTGTGCTCTTTTCTCAGTTCCCTTTTTTCAGATATATTTTTTGAAGTACTTGCGGGAAGTTGCGCGATGTTTGTGAAAGACTAAGTCATAGTGTACCTAGACGGTAACGTAAATACGGTGGCTCGCGAAAGTGTTCGTACAGCTTTCGAAACTGAACAAAGTGACTTGAATCTTTTCTAGACGGTAGAGCGACTCGAAATGCTTTTTTCAAATTTTGCTATTACTTGGAACGACAGAGAAAAATTAAAAAAACTCTCGTTTTTTAACTTTTTCATTTGAGCTTGTAACGGAAATTTTAAAAATGCCTCTCGTAGATCTCGGTAACTTATATGCATGCTGATGATTTTATCGAAATCGGTTGACGTTGTTGTACGAGTTACAACAAATTAAAGATGGTAAAAATCGCAGTTTTGTCTCGATTTTGACCAAAGACTGGAAGACTTCGATCAAAAACCGACTGCAATCAAATTTTCAGCATGCATATAAGTTACCGAGATCTACGAGAGACATTTTTTAAATTTTCATTACAGGTTCCTACAAAAAACTTAAAAAACGAGAGTCTTTTATTTTTTTCTGTCATTCCAATAGCTAAATAAAAAAAAACATTTTAGTCATTGTCTAGCAGATTAGTCTCTCTATCATCTAGAAAGATTTCAAGTCACTCAGTCCAGTTTTAAGAAAGTTATTGCGTTTTAAACGGTGTACGGACACATTTGTAGACCACTGCAAGTAAACGCTCACATATGTGTTATTCATCAATAGCATCAACTTCTGAAAATATGTAAATTAAAGGATTTTAATACGGCCATCTAGTTTTCCATTTGTTCATAGACTGTGTTTTTGTATTTAAAATATAGGTGAGTTAACAAGGTTATCCAAAATGAAGAGTGGAAATAAAAGAAACGTAATAGAATCGTCATAAGTGACGAAGATAAAGTTTCGATATCAGTAGTAAACGAGTAAACTTATGTCAAGGCTATTGTCGGTACAAGAGAGATCACTTTGGAATTCGATATTCGCGATCGAAAGGTTAATCTCGTGCCTAAGATGTCTTACTATCATCCCCCGGTCCAAGTAGCTGTTGTTAACATCAGCTCGCTCTAGTTCGACCGACCTTGCACTCACTTGTTCCAAATTGCTCAACGTCGTTCCCACCGGCCCAACCACTTACAAGTCCACTTCAACTTGCTTCAACCAGTTCCGTTCTGCTCTAGTCCGCTTCGACGTGCATCAACTCCCTCTAATCTACCTCAACCTGCAGCTCTCAAGAATAATGCGATGCTTGTGGCAGCGGAAAGATCCAAGAAATCGTTATGCAGTAATTTCTCCCAAAAATGTTCGGAGGTCGGAACCGAAACCGGCTGATCCGAGAATACTAAGTAGCGATTCTTCGAGCCTCGCGGTTCGTTTTTATAGACAATCGGGGAGGTCGGCAAAAAAAGGCGGCGACCAGCATACCGGTATACATTAATACGAACACATAGTAATGCTAGAATAAAAATTTTTTCATTTCTAATTTTTTACCACGATCCGAAGGCAATTCGAAGGCCACATGACACGATTCGAAGGCAATTCGGAGGCTTCATAACACGATTCGAAAGCAATTGGGAGGCTACATGACACGATTCGAAGGCAATTCGGAGACTACATGACACGATTCGAAAGCAATTGGGAGGCTTCATAACACGATTCGAAGGCAATTCAGAGGCCATATAACACGATTCGAAGGCAATTCGGAGGCTTCATAACACGATTCGAAGGCAATTCAGAGGCCATATAACACGATTCGAAGGCAATTCGGAGGCTTCATAACACGATTCGAAGGCAATTCGGAGGCCATATAATACGATTCGAAGGTAATTCGGAGACTACATGCTATGATTCGACGGTCACGTACCTAGTACCTACTACGTACCTTGTGACTCCGCGTTTTTCTTTTTTTTAACTGTCTCACACCCGAACAGACTATTTTGTGTTGTCTTTCGGAAATTCGCGTCGTGTGCCGCATCACACGTCTGACCGACTCCGTCGACCTTTAGTATCGACGTAGCAATAAATTACATAGGTGTAGAACTAGAACAGGGAAATTCACAGCAACCTGAAATTTAATATTTCCGCGAAAAATTACTGTATGGAAAGGTGAAAAGGTTGGTTAGTGGACTGTATGGAAAAAGACACTGGTTTAATCAAACTAAATATAGTAATTTCTCCCTAATTCGTACTCAGATTACGCACAAAAATGGACAATTTGGGAAGAGGAGAAACGATTATTCGAGCCTTGCGGCTCGTTTTTGTAATTACCGATTATCAACAACTGTAAAAACTAGACGCAAGGCTCGAATAATCACATCCCCTCTTTCCAAATTGTGGATCTTGTGTTCTATAACATATTTCAGAATCGTAAAAATCGCAGTTGGGGCCCCTAAAGTAAATAATTACTGAATTTTATAATCTGTTAGCTAGAAAATCGAGGTTCGTGAACTTTGTTAAGGTGGATGAATAAACAATAATTTCTCCTTAATTCGCGCTCAAATTGCGCACAAGAAAGGACTGATTGTCCAAAACAAGAAAATGATTTTGTGGATTCTTGTGCGCAATCTGAGCGCGAATTAAGGAGAAATTACTGTATATTCATTTACTTCAATAAAGTTCACGAACCTCGACAGTGTCTAGAAACGTACCGATCCGATAATTTTCTAGCTAACAGATTATAAAATTCTGTAATTATTTACTTTAGGGGCCCCAACTGCGATCTTGATGATTCTGAAGTATGTTATAGAACAGAAGATTCTGAATTCTCGCGTCAGCTGTTATGGCCTCCCATCGGTCGCTATTTTAACTCGTAAACACGAGTTATTAACGAGTTGCATTTCGCTTCGACTGCAATCCGCGAATTGCATTTTCTCTAAAGAAAAAGTTACTTCATATGGCCTCAGAAACCCCCATTTCCGGATTACAAGACACATTTGGGACACCCTGTAGACAAAATTCGATGTAGTAACACGGAAGGAATTTTGCAAATATCTTGGAAACTAATGTCGTGCGGCAGTTATATGTATAGGAAAACGATATTCAGAATCTTGTATTCTGTAAGATATTTCAGAATCAACAAAATCGGAGTTAAGATCACTAAATTAACCAATTACCTAAAATTCAAATGTACGTAAAAACGTTGAAACGTACGTTTGAAGGTACTTTTACAGTTTCGTTGTTAGCATATTAAGAATATCAGAATGACGGACGGATGCCAGTAGCTACGTTGTAATATCTTCCAGCTCCGATTGATTTTTAAATAATAATTGCAACGCAGTCCTGGTGTTGACATGCCGGGAAATTGCCATTTGCGATTTAAATAAATAGAGATTTAATTTTAAACCGTCCGAAAGTACCGTGGAAATTGTCGAACATGCAATTATTCATCAAAGCTTTCACGCTCGCTGAATACTTCAAACGCTTTTTGGTCCGAGCCAAAGCGACTATTTAAATGTTTCAGTCTTTTCCTACGCCCGGTCTAATTCGTGAAGTTTCAGCGTATGTGCTCGCGAAACCTGTGCTAATGCGATAATGCGCCAACGACAAAGCAACGTTTGACGAGCACAAAAAAAAACGAAAGAAATAATCGTGAATAGAATAAACTGAAGAAAGTGTAAGAATTCGGCCTCGTTATCGTGCGATCTATAAATAACGACCTATCCTTGGTAAAACGTATCGATGGTTCCGCAGTAACCATTAAACGTTCTCCCCATTCGTCGGGAGAAGCTTCGCAATTAATAATTTAAATCAATATGGCGGAACGAGTGCAGACCGTTCGAGCCGGATATATCTCCCGCGGGTACAGTGCGTTGAAAATTTGATTTCGATTTAAGATTCCCGCGATAGAATTACACCCCCCAGAAGTTCTGGTGTAAATGCCTTGCAGTTCACTGTGTCTTATGTTTCCAAAGAGCTTCCACGTTTCTTCTTTTTACGATAGCAAATTTATTGCCATTCTTCTGACAAAAACCAGTCGAGACATAGATCAGTTTCAGGTTTTGGTAATTATATAGTGAAGGGTGCATTTCCCCGGTTTCAATCACCTTAAAATACGTTGTCAAGCACAACATCCTGAGCAACTTTTTCCTATATATGTTGCCGCTGTTCGGCTTTAGCTTCCGAGATAATGGCAAAAAACTGTTGCTATTACTACATGACGTATGAACAGAATCCAACCTAATAGTAGTAACAGTATTTCGCATAGATTTTTACATGCAGTTACTCATAAAATTGAGCGTACACTTTTTAAAACGAAATAACTTTTTTAAAACAGGACCAAGAGATTTGAATTTTTTTTAGATGATTGGGATGAATAGTCTACTAGACGATGACTAAAATGCATTCTTTAACTTTGTTATTACTTGGGATGACAAAAGAAATAAAATACTCTCGTCTTTTAACTTTTTTATCCGAACCTATAACAAAAGTGTAAAAAATGCCTTTCGTAGATCTCTTGCTGAAAATTTGATCGATATCGATTAGCCCAGAGTCAATCTGCAGGCGTTAGAATATTTAAAAAACTGCATTTTGATATATTTATATACATCAAAATTTGTCACTCCGAGGAAAAGTTTCGCAAATAATGCAAGATCATGATAGTAAAATAAACGTCTTTGTTCCTGTCATCGTCGCTGGCACGTGCACGCGAGCCCAACCTTGGCATTCTAAACACCTAGCCCGTCCTTCTGTAGATTCAACGAACAAACGACCACAGAAAACGCATTAGATGTCCTCATTGTCTTCAAATCAAGCACCTTTATTCCTTATTCTGAACATGAACGTCCGTCTTTTGTTCCTTTATCG